TTTTGGAGATACCAGCCTGTGAACCTCGCTACCTGCAGTGCGTGGGGAAGAGCCTGAGCGGCCGCTGCCTGGGGCACTGCGAGAGCAGGTTGAGCGCCCAGAGCACCATCTCCTTCCCCACCAGGAACCCTTTGGGTTGAGCGTCAACGTTCCACTCAGGGACGTTTAATGGCTCTTCGCGTCTCTTTGGCAAATTTGAAAAATTATGCCTAAATGTTCATTTCATAGGTACAAGCTGGAGCGGTGGTAAAGCACCTCGCCGTGCCCACCTCCCAGGAGTTTTGCGTAAGACTGAGGGTTTAATTATCCACATAACCATATACCTAAGTCGCTGTATATTTAGATATTCCAGTTCTGAAACTACCTAGGGTGTATCATGCATAAATATAAACCTGTGTAAGATACATCATATAAAGATTAAGCCTTATGCTATATTATTTTTACTAGTGAAGCTGGTATTTTTCATAACTCCATTGCACTTTTATCAGCATAGTTCCAATGATCCTGCACTCCTTTCTGGCACAGAAATGTCCCATGTGTAACAGACATTCACAAAAGGAGAACGGGAATGCAAATGCCCTCAGGCCAGACCTCAAGAACAGTTTTCTCCTTGTTTCTTTAGATGGAATTTTACCTTTGCCTTTTTTTTTTTAAATTATTTTCTCTTTTTTAATTGAATGGAAGAACCTTAGTAAGCACATTAGGAAGATACATTGGCAGATGATAGTAAAAGAATGCCTGTCACAGGGTTAGACATTGATACAGAAATCATTAAAATAATCACATCAATAAATTTCACTTTAAATTCATAGCAACTACACTAGTCTACTGTCTGAAGCTTCACAATCCTCCAGTAGCATTCAGTTCTGTTTTGTATCGACTCGGCTTTAACAAAACAACTTTTTACATTTGTATAACTTAATGAGTTCTCACAAAATATGTGTGTGCTCATGCGCACACCCTATATACACACACACACATATATATACACACGCACACACAGAGAACTGCAAAGACAGATGCTAAATGGAGTAATTATACCATCCTAATTTTACACATGAACTCTAAAGAATTTAGGCTTTTAAGTTAAATATTTGTCAACAAAGCATCCAGGGGATGACACTAGCTAAGTTGAGACTCATCAGTGCAGTGCATCAGCGGTGCATAGTTCCTCTAGGGGTTTTATCTTCACAACTATCAATATTTTGATTATTGAGACATTTTGGAACATTCTCCTTTCAGTATTTGTATCCTCCCATGAAAACCAAGGCATAAAGGCAGGGGGGAAGACGGGCAAGAGGGTTTGGACCTAGATTGTTAACAAATTAAATTTGGGAACTTCCTGACGCATGTAATGTACCTAAAGATTCAAAATTCAGAGTCCATCTACGTTAACAGTTGTTTATTTGTTTTTTTTTTTTTTTTAATATAACAAATTT